TTCAAACTCTGTGGGGATAATGGTCGTCCGCAGTGTAGTATTAATTTGACGAAAATTTTGTCAGCTGAAATAACTTAGATTCTGTTGAGGAGATACAGAGGTTTAACAACACTCTGTTAAAAAAATTCATGAACTTAGAGACTAAGTGTCATGTTTGAAAACGTAAGGGTGGAGCCTTCGTTTGGAATAATTGCAACGCAAAGGTGACCTTTACATTTGAGGTTCGAAACACAAAGTTAAGAACTCTCATGACGTAGGTCTGAGCATAGCATTTGGAAATTGAACGCAGAGGCAAGTTCTGCATTAAGGTTAAAGTCTAACTGACTTTATCCATTAACACTAAAGATTGCATTTTAAAATGGTTGGGATTCTCTCCTAGAATCTTGTACCTCTTTAACAGTTCGATGGCTGTTATAAATTGACCTGTGTGGTCAAATCAAGAGTCATTCGACTCTTTTTATTTTCATCTTGATTCCACGAACGAGAATTCTCATTAACTTTGACAGAAAGAAACCCCGATGATCTTCGTCTTTCCCGATCGACTGCACAAATGGCACCGTGAAGATTGAGTTCAGGGCTTCGAAAGGGCACTAGAATGGCTTCAGAGACATTGTCAGCCAAAGGAGCCGGAGAGGTTCTCGTTCCCACGGGGACTCCGTCGACATTTCCGCCTCATGAGCCCATTTGTCGTGGTAGGTGACAAACAAAATTAACTTGCTTTTGACAAGTTCTTCTGAAACCCTAGATGGGTTCTTGATAACAAGGAATATGACTCATTTATTCTTGGCAAAAACGCAGAGTTGGGACTCTGTGTTTATTCTAAAACGTAGTGTTGACTCCTGCGTTTAAGCTCTAAATGTGGGTTTCGACCACTGCATTCAACTTTTGTAACACAAGTCTTGAATCTTACGTTTAAGCTCTGAATGTGGGTTTCAACTATTGCGTTCAACTTTTGTAACGCAAGTCTTGACTCTTGCATTTAAGGTTGGCCCTTGTGTTTAAGATTTAACACACGGGGCCTGACCACTGTGTTTCAATCTGTTTCTTCATATTTATATTAGCAACTTATTGTGATTGTTAACCTTTTTTTTTGGTTTTGTAGTGTTCTTCCCGCATGCGCCACTCCCTCAAGAATATTACTTTGGATATATTGGAGGTCTGGATAAGGAAAACATTTTTGGTCTTCATCAAAGAATCCCGCTGTACACCTTCCCTGATTCAGAGTGGGCACGCCTGATAACAGAAGCGGGAGCCCCACCCTCAGGATCTTAATGACTAATTTGGATATGAAGACGTCGCTAGGCCATGATCAGTTTCCAAAGCCTGCATTCTTGTTTGGAGACCATATAACAGCAGATGAGTAGCTCTATTGTGAAGAATCGGCAATCATTTTTTCTTCCTTCCTAGCATGCAGAGGATGTATCCCCCCCCTCTCTCTCTCTCTCTCTCTCTCTCTCATCCTCGTCTCATCTCACTTATTGCACGTTAGTTGCCGTTGAAGTCTGGCTTTCTATCTCATTCAGAAAAGAGCAAGTGTATCGCTTAATTCCCAGGGCCAAACTCAGATACTCAAGGGCCTGAATCCTAGCAAATTTGAGAAAAAGGATCTAGCTCGAGAGGGGCCCCTTTCGACGAATCTGTTTATTTGCCAATTCATTGCTGCTTAGGGTGAATTCTCTACACAAGCCTTTTAGTCTCCTGGCTAGTTATTCTTTGGAGAAGGTGGCTGGTGGACTCGCATGGTGGACTTTGTCTTGGCGGACCTTAGGGAGCTACTTGCTCAATCGAGCCTCACAGTCCCAGTGTTGGCCACCAGGCATAGGATTGTTCAGAGTTATCCTAACTTCTTTGCTATGTTGGAGAGGTATAATACAGATAGCTACACATTTTTACGCCTGTCGGAGAGTTAGGCTTCGCTCTCCATGAAATGCAGGCCATACCAGGGCTACCATTCCCACTACGGAAGAGCTCTCTATCTTGAGAGTGGCACATCCAGAGATTTATGCCATATTCTGGGAGTTGATGTGCCACTTTCACATCTGCATTCACCTGGTAGGGATGCGTGGAGAGGGTATCATGCATACCACATGGGCGAGCTATCTTTTCCGGAACCTAAGTCGGAGAGATAAGGTCATGACCCGTCTTGCTGCAGTATCTCCCAAGGACATTAAGTCCTGTATTAAGGTTGTAGAAGCTATTTACAAGAACGAGCATAAGGAGGACGGGTTTGAAGCTGGTGTCGAATTTGAGAGTTTTCATCACCAGGCTGCTACGCCTATCTTTGATACTACTCTTCTTGCTGGTTTCTTAATGTTATGGTTGAAACGATGTCTGGTGCCATCGAAGCGTGCTGAATCAATATTAGCTGAGTAGTATACCCGACTATTTTGTTGGCTCACGGGAGACCATTGAGCCTCCTCACTACTATGGTAGCCTTCATACAGAGTGGGCTGAGGATGTTAATATCTGAATTCATCAACGTCCTAGAAGTTAATGTTGCTGGGAGGAAAGTTCAGAGGACTTTCCAACCTCGTGTGCCAGTGCTATATACTTACTTGGCGGCCTGGTTTGTCTTGCATTGCCCATTGTTGATGACAGGGGCTACTGAATAGGATGAAATTTTTACTCCCTTTGTGCAGAGGCTCGAGTTGGCCACGTGGACTCACACATACATAGTTCGAGCTCGAGACCTTTTGTCACAGGGGAACAACTACAGGATTTTCTGCTGCGCTCCTGATTTTGATAGGGCCGGAGATAAGGATGCAGATTTTGTAGATGTTGAATTAGGGGAATTTTCATCTTTGGGGAAGGCGTCTTCAGGTGGCTCCTCAATATTAGATTGGGGTATCTGGTCTTCCGCTTGGCAGAGGAGTGCATCATTGAACCATACACACCTTCTCGTTTTGCCAGGCAATTGGGTATGACCAACTTTATGTTGGCAACCCTAACCCGGAGTTAGCGCAGGTCGGGAATTTGCTTGAAAGGGCCCGTGCTTGGTATTTCATCTCTGCAGGAGGGTCTCATGCACAATTTACCTTGTCAAGCTTGCCACCCAGTTACTCTGATGTTTTTAATTTTCGCGACTGGTTTTCTAAAGCTTCTCAGAGTCCGAAGTATAACATGTACACTTCATGTATAAACGAAATCCGAGAGCTTTATGAGTCTAGAAAGGATTTTAGAAGGACTCGCCTGCCGGGGATGGACGAATATTTATCTTATGAATGAGAGGCAACCGGAGCTGGAGGGGTCCAAGAAGAGCCACCAGCTACCGAGTCTTGCGAAGAGAAAGTGACCGAAGAAATTTTTGAAGAAGAACCCACTCTTGAACCTTACTCACTAAGATCATCAGGGAAGAAGGCTCTTACCCTTGTGGAGGAGGGCGAATATGATAGGAGGGTTCGAAAAAGGGGGCCATTGTAGCCAAAAACTCCAAGAAGGTGAAGCTCATGGGAGACACGATGAAGTCTGCACCTATCATGCTCCCGGATTATAAAGGAGGAAAAGCGCTTCAATCAACTCCTTCTATTCCTGAGGATATAGAAGCTAAAGGGAAGTTAATTGTCGGGGCTCAGAGTCTGTTCTTTTGATAGGACCTATTGAGGGGGTGACCACAAGAGAGGATTCGCCAGAAAGATTTACTTCTGAAGCTATTTCTGGATATGCTCCCACTAAATTTATGGGTTTAATTTATCTGACAGGCCCTCCTCCAAGTTCAGAAATTCTAAGGAAACTCCTCAAACAGCTAGAAAATGCAATGAAATTGACAATCAATGTTGTTAGCCTTGGGCAGGTTGCTTTTAAGGATTTCTAACCTCACTTACATAGTTGTCTCACCAGCATCAAGAGCTTGGGTGACATGCGGTGGACTGAATGTTGCAAAGAGAGCATCACCCTCATGGAAGCGGAATTAAGGACCTTTTTGGATTGGTGATGCACCGACTTAGAATCTGAAAATGAGAAAAAAAATTCTGAGGCCCAAGCCTTGAAGGTGCGCCATCAAGAGGCTCTTCACAAGAGTTTATCTGAGAAAGAGGCCCACATGGCAAACTTACAGGAGGAGCACACTCAGATACACACTGATATGAGTAGTCTTGCTATTGGTGATCATGACACTGAAGAAGCCATTATTCGTACAGAGACTGAGTTAGCCCAGAAGAAGGCTCAGTTAACTCAGGATATGGACGTCATAAAAGGGCTTCAGCTTTAAAGTGACGAAGTCTTTAAGAATTTCTGTAGCGCACTCCAAGCTTCTGTGGAAATTTGTAAAGAGATTGCTGTTACAACGCCTATTGAAGAAGAGCTTAAGAGGTAGATTGCCGAACACGTCAGAGCAGCTCATAGGAATAAGCTGTCTGTGCTTAAGTCTAAGCTCAGATCATTTAGATTTATGAACCCAGACACTTGAGTTTTATATTGTTTTTAACTGGGGATAGGAATTTTTTGTATCATTTTCATACCAAGTATTATCACTCTGTATCAAGTTAACAACATTGAATGAAAATGATATTGTTTTGCCTTCCATCGTCTCTCTTATTGAATTCTAATTTCGGATAATGAAAAATATTGCAAATGCCATAAGTGTAATGTTAACTTAGCATAAGTTCGAAATTCTTTTTATTACTACTTAGAATAACTCCAAAAAATTTTAATCGTCATAGGTGTACTGTTAACTTAACGATATATAAAGTAGGAAAACTAAACGATTATTCTCTATTGAAACAAATTCCGAATAGGTAACCCCCAGCCCGACTTGGCTGAAGATTAAGAGAAAAGGAGGATTCATGGCCTACGAGAAGTATTTCTTAAGAAACTTTCCGTTAATTAGAATCATAAGTCTATCACCTTTTTGATCGATGATGCGATAAGCTCCGTTTGAGTAGACTAGATCTATTATGAATGGCTCTTCCCACTTAGGAATTGTCACGACCCCAATTTCCGAACCTCAAAGGAATATTAGAGCCGGACTATACCTGTGAAAAGTCCTCCAAAATATACATTCATTAAAAGAACACTAAAACAAATCTCTTCATTGAACTAAAACCAACAACAAATATTCTCTATAATCCCAAAAGTCAACTAAGCCAATTAACTTGATAAAAATAAATATTCCTCAACTCCAAATAAATCTCAACCTAAAGAAAGAATCTCATTATTACAAACTCTCAATTCATCATCTAAACATTAAAGACTTTATTTAACCTTCGCCTAGAAGACAATAACAATCTCGAATTATTCTTTGCTTCGTTCTAAGAATTTGACAATCCTCAATTCCACCTAATCCCGAGTCTCTGAAAAGAATAGAAATAACACAATGAGTTCACAACTCAATAAGTGGATAAATTCATACATTAAACACTGGTTTTGCAAAACTAAAATATTACAACGAGAAATAAACAAAATATAAGAATTATATAGAATCATTAATGAACTCTAGTATTTGATACAAATATTTAAGAAAATTAGAAATCATGGAATAGAAATAAGCATGCTACGTCTCAATGCGGTCAACACTTCATACTCCGGTTGACTCGGTAAACCCCACAATTATTAAGCCCGTGGTTCCGGGACGGTGAGACCCAATTTGGGCTCTTAGCGCTAAAATAAAACCTCATAGAGGCACATTGAGTCCTGTTTTAATAGCTTGCTTATATCCGACATATACCGGTATATTGACTTGAGATGCATATGCTTTAACAATAAACAAAGTTCGTAAAGCTAATCACATTATACAAAAATGCCAAAGGCCAACCAATAGTGAAATAAATCAAACACATATGCATCTCAACCTACCACTATATGAATAGACATAACAATTGATAAAGAAAATAAGCATAGGCTTATACCAAAATATCCATGAGCATCACAAAATCAAACCAATCAACAAATGATATACCAGTAATCATACGAAGGATATAATCCATCAGGAACAAATCCAAACATACTTGATATAATTATACAAAAAAATACACAGCGCACAATGCATAAATTCACCACTTACCTCAAGTCCGAAAATAATCCAACTACCCCTCACAACACCTCCTCGAAGCCACTCGAAACACCTAAAGAATAAGTATAAACAATAATCAATACTATTATATGCCCTTAACTCATAGCCTACCAAATTATAACTATACCCTTTATCTTCTTTACTCTTCTATCTAAACAATTACACATCAAAATGCCTTCAACCAAGGAATTTAAATGCATGATTAATATTTATTTTATAATACCGGTTAAAGAAGTGTGTCAGCATCATTTATAATAAATCTAACAATTGAGGTTGAGGAAGTGAGGTCAAAGATTTAGGTCTCAAGTTGGTGCTTTGTATACATACCCAAATTATTGTTATTATTATTTTAAAAGGAACCCAAGGTAACGTGATAAAAAGTTAAGTGGCCTTGTATAAAAAAAATAATAAGGTAAGCATATAGAGATGAAAACAAGAGGCAAGAACCAAAGCTTGGTTCCACCATGGCCATGGCCTAAAAAAATTTAGATGTGCCCATAAGTTTCTAAGTGAGGAAGAAAAATACCTAGAAAATGTTCTTGATCCCAACTCGAAAGACAAAAGACCCTTCTTTTTTTTTCGGCAAGATAAAGATGGGAGGAAGAGAAGCCTTTTTTTTTTTTGGAACGGCGGAAACAGAAGATGGGAAGCAATTAGATCAAGATATTTCTCTTTCATCACATTCTCATGCAATCTATTGTTTCTTCTAAATGACTTTCTTTTTAACACAAAAAGAATTTATTGGACAAATATTTATTGATCACCAATGTTTAATACTTTTGATCCAATGCTGCAGATAACTACTTTTGACTATATAAAATCATTCCTGTCATGAGAGCTTCATGGATTATCACATGAGATATATTATAGGAAACTAGTGGCAAGCCACAAGGTGATCCAATTCTATTTTATACGTTGACAATCCTCTCCAAAATCTAGAATGTAACCTCAAACTTTAAAGTCTCTACTAAGATGAAATCTCATGATGTCCTTTAACATGTAACATGTCATGCTTCTCAAGTGAATGAGTGCTGTAAGGCAAGAAATAAGTCAACTTAGTAAGTAAATCAACAATACTCTGATAATATCATGACCACTCGATGGGTTCAGGTTTGTGGCCAAAGTCTGTGAATATCTCTTTTCATTTCCATGCATAATTTGAAAACAGTTGGAGTAATCCAACAAGTCTTCCAACAATCAATATTCATATTATGCTATCATAATAGATATTTTGACACAAAAGAAATTATAATTTTTATTTCCAAGTATTCCATCAAAATTTTCTTGTAAGTTTGTAAATAATTCCATACTTCAAAGATATCTTTACTATGCAAAACAAAATGTCTTCTAATATTTCTGTCTTCAAGTTTGGTTCATCGAGTAAGCATGATCTGATTTTGAATCTTACGACCTCATTATGAACTAAAATATCATAACAAAAAGTTTGTTTTACCTCAAACTTAAATCCAACCAATAAATGAGCATTACTTTTTGCTATGCAATTTTCTCTCTTGACACATTCTCAATCTTAAGATGGGTAGACATTATTCTTGGTCTATAAATTCAAATATTGATTCACCTCAACCTCCAATATTTGTTTTGATTGGTCGATCAAAATATGATATAATTTCACCCTTTTTTTTTCCAATGCATCATTGAATTCATTTGCTAAGATAATAATAACTTCTATGTATAGATGTCCCTTCTCTTCATATACAGACAATATGAATTCATTTGCTAAGATAATAATAACTTCTATGTATAGATGTCCCTTCTCTTCATATACAGACAATATTCTAAAATCTTTACATCTTGGATGATTCCTTTTTTTTTTTGCATAACACTACACCTAAAAGAAGCACTGGAGGCATCAATGTATGTCACAAATCTATCCTTCAACTCATGATATTCTATCTTGCACTTGTTGGAACAATGAAAATATGTCATACATTCAACAAAGGATCAATGCCATTGAAAGCTATTAGTGCATTAATAAACTATAAACAATCCTTGATCACAATTTAAATCCAACAACTTCATATAAAATTTCAGCTTGTCATGATGTTGCAAAAATAATCCTCAAGCATTCTTTTACCCATCTCGACTCTCGAAAAGTAGCTATACATCATCAAAGAGGTCACTACAAATTGATCCAGTTATGATTGGACATCTCATTCACCGAACAAAATTTATGAAATCCACCAATGCATTGTCATCTGGTTGGTGTCATCAAAGAATAGCATCATAATTCAACATAACAATCATCAGTAACATTAATCTATGAAATACTCAAGTTATGTACATAAGCAAATATTCAAGTAATAGCCACATATTTTTACCCTGCATTATGCTACGTAGGCTATATATGTAATTCCTTGAAAAATCAAAACTAATAGCATTCATAGTCTTCCACATTTATAAAGTCTATTATATATGTAATTCCTTGAAAAATCAAAACTAATAGCATTCATAGTCTTCCACATTTATAAAGTCTATACTTCTATGTTTCTAACTAGAATTCATACAATAGCATTCATAGTCTTCCACATTTATAAAGTCTATACTTCTATGTTTCTAACTAGAATTCATACATAGAATTTTCTATAATCATTTAACCGAGTTGGCATGCTATCTACTATAACATCTCAAAATACGCCATCAAATTTCTTTTCTATAAATCTCCAATAATAATCTCTCACATCAAGTGCCATCACAACCTAACATCACAAAAAATAAATACATTTAGCATGAAAGTTTAATCATAATAATCATCAATAACTAATCACTGGCATATTCCTTATCATGATAGCATATGTTATCATATAATATTATCATAAGTCACATATGTCAAACATGCCTCCAACTAAGCTGAACTAATTCCTTTATCTCTCGAAAAACTAAACAAAAAGGAATTATGTATTCCATGAATCAAAAATCATATACCTCTATAACTAAATTTGATCCAATTATATTCATATTGTCCTCGATCAGACTTCAAAATAAAACGTCAACTTTCATATCCATTCATCAGAACCCAATATATATTTTTCTTTTATTATTTAATCATCTCCAAAATCAACTAGGACCTACAGCCTAATCTCTGATACCATTCTGTCACGACCCCAATTTCCGAACCTCAAAGGAATATTAGAGCCGGACTATACCTGTGAAAAGTCCTCCAAAATATTCATTCATTAAAAGAACACTAAAACAAATCTCTTCATTGAACTAAAACCAACAACAAATATCCTCTATAATCCCAAAAGTCAACTAAGCCAATTAACTTGATAAAAATAAATATTCCTCAACTCCAAATAAATCTCAACCTAAAGAAAGAATCTCATTATTACAAACTCTCAATTCATCATCTAAACATTAAAGACTTTATTTAACCTTCGCCTAGAAGACAATAACAATCTCGAATTATTCTTTGCTTCGTTCTAAGAATTTGACAATCCTCAATTCCACCTAATCCCGAGTCTCTGAAAAGAATAGAAATAACACAATGAGTTCACAACTCAATAAGTGGATAAATTCATACATTAAACACTGGTTTTGCAAAACTAAAATATTACAACAAGAAATAAACAAAATATAAGAATGATATAGAATCATTAATGAACTCTAGTATTTGATACAAATATTTAAGAAAATTAGAAATCATGGAATAGAAATAAGCATGCTACGTCTCAATGCGGTCAACACTTCATACTCCGGTTGACTCGGTAAACCCCACAATTATTAAGCCCGTGGTTCCGGGACGGTGAGACCCAATTTGGGCTCTTAGCGCTAAAATAAAACCTCATAGAGGCACATTGAGTCCTGTTTTAATAGCTTGCTTATATCCGACATATACCGGTATATTGACTTGAGATGCATATGCTTTAACAATAAACAAAGTTCGTAAAGCTAATCACATTATACAAATATGCCAAAGGCCAACCAATAGTGAAATAAATCAAACACATATGCATCTCAACCTACCACTATATGAATAGACATAACAATTGATAAAGAAAATAAGCATAGGCTTATACCAAAATATCCATGAGCATCACAAAATCAAACCAATCAACAAATGATATACCAGTAACATTATAATATACTTGATAAGTATATTATAAATAATCCCACCGCCTAATATTTTTGCAGTCTGAGTGGGAAACTTAACCAAAATCCGAGGATCAAAGCCGTCCTTACAACATCTAAAAGTTGGCACTTATTTACCTTGTCTATTTAGTTCCATCGATCCAAAACAAACTTTTGATAATGATGATTTCAACCTTTGTAATCAATGGCCAAAAACAAGGCATCAGCTATGAGAGCACATAGATTATATAACTGATTGTGCAAACTTGAAGAGCAATGCATACTTTGAACCGTCTCTGTATATAGATATAAGATTATACCTTATCTTTGTGTAGAGTGGATCCAATCACCACGTCCCCCCCTTTAATCGAGATTTGTTTTTTTTTTTTTTTTTGTGCGGCGGAACAGAGACGGGAGAAGAAGAAAAGAGGCTTGATGGAAACAAGTAGGGTTTTGGGTATTTATAAAGGCCATTTGTTTACTAAAAACCCCTCTAACAAATTTTACATAAAAGCCCCAATACTTTTCTTTATATATATCTATCTAAAAACTTAGAATTATTACATACTACCCCACTTAACAGAAGTTTTGTCCTCAAAACTTGAACATACTTGAATTGTCCGTAGATCATGTAATTATTTTCTTTAAACTCCTTAATCCGACTATGATGGTACTATGTACAAATGTTATCATTGGCACATACTCAAATCTCATCCAATAATTTCATGAGCATATTAGCTAATAATGGTCAGCTCAAAAATTTATGTCATATTTATTCTCAATTGACAAAATTTGGGATATTATATATTATACCCCTCAAAAGATGTTTTGTCCACAAAACTTAGATGCACTTTAAGTCCTCAATTAGATCAAGATATTTCTCTTTCATCACATTCTCATGCAATCTATTGTTTCTTCTAAATGACTTTCTTTTTAACACAAAAAGAATTTATTGGACAAATATTTATTGATCACCAATGTTTAATACTTTTGATCCAATGCTGCAGATAACTACTTTTGACTATATAAAATCATTCCTGTCATGAGAGCTTCATGGATTATCACATGAGATATATTATAGGAAACTAGTGGCAAGCCACAAGGTGATCCAATTCTATTTTATACGTTGACAATCCTCTCCAAAATCTAGAATGTAACCTCAAACTTTAAAGTCTCTACTAAGATGAAATCTCATGATGTCCTTTAACATGTAACATGTCATGCTTCTCAAGTGAATGAGTGCTGTAAGGCAAGAAATAAGTCAACTTAGTAAGTAAATCAACAATACTCTGATAATATCATGACCACTCGATGGGTTCAGGTTTGTGGCCAAAGTCTGTGAATATCTCTTTTCATTTCCATGCATAATTTGAAAACAGTTGGAGTAATCCAACAAGTCTTCCAACAATCAATATTCATATTATGCTATCATAATAGATATTTTGACACAAAAGAAATTATAATTTTTATTTCCAAGTATTCCATCAAAATTTTCTTGTAAGTTTGTAAATAATTCCATACTTCAAAG